TGTGTGTGTGTGTGTGTGTGTGTGTGTGTGTGTGTTTCTGCACTCTTTCCTCCACCTCTCTGTGCCACCATAATGGTGCACACGGAAGTCCTGGCTGGTGTCTGCAGCGAATGCCAACAAGAGCGAACACCAGGTTCTTACTAGGCCGTGGTCCACAGTCACCACCCGGTTTCTGACTGTGATGAAGCAGCTACACGGGCGATTTTGAGATCACTGAAGACCACAGAGCTGGACAAACTGCTGTGAACCTCACAGGCAGGTTGAACAAGTGTGACTGATCAGCCCCAGACATGATGTGCAACTCAAAGATCCAGGGAGATGGCAGAATGACCCGCTCCCATCTCCTCAGTTCGGTTCCACTGTACTGAGCACCTCAGCTGGCACCGTGGGCCACGAGGAAGCAAGAAGGAAACACACAGGACGGAAAATCCTGCGATTCTTTTTCTAGGAATGTTAATACACACATGCAAGTGAAATGTCTTCGTGGAATCTATTTATCTGTCTGTAAAGATTCAGTCTAGGCTCCGGATTCTTCTCCAACTGGTTACTCAGTCTGGGAATTCTGATGGTCTAACCCTGTTGCCAAATCCTTATTTCTGGTGCTGGCTTCAGTAAGGTCACCTTTCAGGCCCTGGAGTGGCGATATATATTGGCTTCCCGTGACTGGCTTCAAAAACCTTCACGAGTCTCTCGGCATCCTAATCCTTCCTCCCATGTACCTCCTTTCTTCTCATTCTGCTGTACAAAATTCAAGCCCAAGCACTGCTCTGTCGCATCCATTCTACAATCCCCACGGGTGCATTCTTTTCTGGCATTGTTACTAAACTGAGATAGCTTGGGAGGGCATGCCATTTGGCAATTTATCAGCTTAGAATTTTGCCTAAAAATAGCCAAGACTGGGACCAGCAGATGGCATAGTAGTTTTAAGACGCTGGATTTCTTTAGGGCCGACCATGGTTCAAACACCGGACCCAGCAGCTTGAGAATCATGCTGTGTGCATTTGTCCTGGACCCAGCAGCTTAAACTCACTCCAGGCGTGTGCGCGTGCGTGCCCAAGATCCCGAGAGGAGAATGGAGTAGAAGGGATTGCTGCGTGGCCATCCCCCCTGGCGGGGGTGATTTCTCGCTTTCTATCTCTCTGTCTCTCTCTGTCTTTCTGGCAAGCACACGCGCCCTCTAGCAAAAACCTCTCAAAAAACAAAAAAAAAAAAAGTAAAGCTTTTCATTGCAATGAGTCATCTCCATTTCTGCCCAACTATAATTTCACATGCCAAATTCTGCCCCATAACACCCTAATATGGGCAGGAGCCACTGACCTTCCCCCCAACCAATATCTGGCTTTGTCCAGTGGCAGTGAACGGACCAACCCTCTCGCTCTCTCCTCCTTTCTCTCACTCCCCCTGGCAAACACAAGCATCTCTTGGCAAATTTTGTTTAAAAATCAGTTTTTGAGAGAACTGGTTAATCTAACAATAACCACACATTTTAATCTCTCATTAAGTATTTTTCTTCCCTTTTTCTTCTTTTTGTTGAGAGAGATTTTTGCTATAGGGCGCGTACACTCACTGGAGAGACAGACAGAGAGACAGAAAGGGAGAAATCACTCCCCAGAGGAGATGACCACACCGCAATCCCTTCTCCTCTGTTCTCCTCTTGGGATTTTGGGCATGCACACACAGATGCTCAACATGAGCTTAAGGCACTGGGTCTAGGATCAAACCATGGTCAACTACGTGGGAGTCCAGCAACATAGCCATTATGCCATCTGCTGGCCTCGTCACTACGCATTTTTCTAAAATATCTCAGTAGCTAACACCTGCCTCTCAATATCCTACAGAAGGAAGAGCATTCCCCTTTTAGGAGCAGTGAAGAAAGACGACACAAAATGGCGAAGAACACGCAGCAGCATCGGTAGCCAGGCAATAGTAATTACCACGGTGTGTTCTCCTACTTTCCTACAAACACCACCCACCACCCAGTCACTGCCATGCCCAGGCCGCCATAATGAACATCAGTCACACTGCCTGACCTCAGCTGGGTCCCTAGGAGGGTGGAAACTAGACAGTGAAGCAGCCCCCCCACACTAACGAGCGAGCAGGTGCTGAGCCCCAGAGAGCACCAGCCGTCATCTGGCTCCCGGTTTCTGAATCAACGCCTGACCTCCAGCACTGCTTCAGCTGGTCAGGCTGGAGGAACGGGTGCTCCTTCCTCCCTCTCATCTGCCTCGGCACTTGATTAAAAGGGTGACCTCACAGGCACAGGAAGCCCACCTGTCCTTCTAAACAGTACGGTTACCACACCTGTCTCCCACATCTCACGGCTCATTTACAGCTCCAAAGGGAGAAGGATCTGAGCAGAGCTAAGATGTCTGTGTAAGAAACCAGCTCACAGACAGGCAGAAATCCAGACAAAAACACCGGGGAGCAAGCAAAGAAACATGCACATCGGTGTTATGTACATGTATAAACATGCATGTGTTTAGATGCATGCGTGTGCATATATGTACATGCGCACACATATGTCCTGTTAGGGAAGGCTAATGGTGTACAAGGCAAACAACTCACAGACACACACAGACTAGAATTCAGCCCTTAAGGGTGGAAGGAACTCATGAGCGGGTCAATGACCGGAAAGCGAGAACAGCAAACACATGCCACCAGGGAGACACGGAAGGCCAGCACAGAGGCAGGGGTCACAGGAAACGCTTCAGAGAGCAGGCTGTTAAAGAGAGCACTAGAGTGTGCCCCGGCTTTGGAGCAGTCGAAGCCAACGGCCTCTAAATTACCTCCTGACAAAACCTGCCAGCTTCTCCATAAGGTGAGCAAATGATGAGGGTTTCGTTTCTGAGAGCCCACTCTATCGGGGACAGAGGCTACTTAGAATGCAGAATCAAACAAGAATAGGACGTAGCCACCATCTGAAACGTCACCAACACTGAGCACGTCATCTTGGCTATCAGTGGCTCACTTGTATCTTGACTTTCTCTGCCATCAGCCGGCTACTTCAGCAAGATGGCACAGAAGGAAAAAAGATCCCCATTCCCTGTGCTTGTCCTTCTTCTCCACGTTCTCTCCCCGCTGGGCCTATGAGCTAGCACTATGTCATTTTCATACGCCCGCGGAACCACTGAGGATGTGGACAGACCCAAATCTAGACTAAAAATGTAACGTTAAACATACGACATGACACAGCCCTTCTCTCGTGTTCTTGGCCCTGCTCGGTCCCCAAAGGCTTTACTAGGCAGAGGTTCATTTCAGACACGAGGACCTATGACTGCTTTCAGTGGTGTATCATGGCACCACAGACACCCGTAAGTCTGCTGGAACACAGGCCTTGCATTCGTTCAAGACGAGGAAAACGCTTAGCAGTAGGTGGAAGAATTCAGTGAAACATGGAAATCCTTTGATTTTGATGGGCTACAAACAGACATTTTACTCATGGAGTCTTTTCCTGTTTGTCCAATATCTTAGTTAAATGTCTAATACATAAACCTGAGGAAAAAATTGTTCTCTCAAGTTAGAAGAGATGACTTAAGTTTTCATTCACTGCCGTTATTTTCTTTTTATGAGTGAGAAGAGAGACAGGTGGGTCGGTATTTTGACAGAGTGTTGCTGTTGCAATCCGCTGCCCCAGTCTCTCAGTGAGCTAGGAGTATAGGTCCACACTGCCGTGCCTGGCCCGCTCAGGTTGGTCTGGAATCTACACCCAGGCCTCCCATGTTGCCCTGGCCTTGCGCAGTGGAGCCTAACACTGTGCCAGTGTGCCTGGCCTCACGACAGCCAGACCTCAGTGAACGACCTACCTTTGCAATGACCTCTCTGACTTCTCCACATGGCGAATCCCCTGTCTCAGTCTGTGTGAATCTCCGGAATCCCTTTCTCAGTCTCTGTCTCATTCCAGCAGTCAGTTCATGTTCACTACGTGAAGCAGTGTCAATCCACGAGACTATGGATTGATATTTCATTTATAAATTTGTCCTTTATTATACACACGCAGTAGTATTCAGAATAAATGGAATAAATGGAAATAATGATGTTGATTTATACTATTGCATTATGGTGTGTCTTGTCACTTTCTGACGCTTTCGTATGGATAGAATTACATTACTCTAGTGTGGTGCCCCGTGGTATCAACTGAGAGATGCATACCCTACGGGATCATGACACACCACAAGACATCCACCTCTAAGGTCCTCACTTACCCAACAATTCACTTAATAGCCTAGTCATAGAAATATAACTCAGTCATTAAGTGAGGAGTGTCTGTATTGTTATTTTTGAGAAATTATTACACAGTGGAAAAAATCCCATAAAGGTAAAAATAAATTTCAGGCATCTGATGTTTACTCACGTTGGTCCAGAAGGAGGATAGGTCGATTTTCTGCAGTCTTCTGTCCACTAAAAGAATAAAATCAAAAGTTTAAGAAAGTAACTTGCTAACGGAAGAAAACGATTTGCAAATGTAGTTACAGTTTATGAAGACAAAAAAATCAATTATGATTTTACCCATCTAGGCCCTTTCTCTGCCTCTTAAAATAAGTCCTCTCTGCCCAAGAAAACTTCTAAAACCCCAAACCATAATGTACATTTTTGGTCTGAATTCAATTTGCACAAGTGCCGGCTGCAATTTGGCTCAGGCAGTGCAAACGCGTGGAAAGGAGGGAATGTAAGGAAGCAGATGAAAATGTTATGAAATGTCAGATTGACTTATCACTAAAAATAAATGATAAGATCCTGAGTTTATGGGCCAATGCTATTGCACTCTGCCCTGGGATCTGCATCCCAAACCAGATTTTCAAGATCCACGGCCTAAGAGCCCTTATAAGCTGGCCCTAACCTCTCCCAGCGCTCCTGTGTTTACAGTGCCACGCGAGTCCTGCCCTTGCTCGCTCACCCGTTCGCATCCACGTAAGTACTGTTCTCTCTGCGTGGAACGTCCTTTTCCTCTCAGGCGAATTTCAGGCTTACCTTCTGAGTGCCAACTCAGACACTTTCTTTTTTTGTGTGAAATCACTTCTACCTCCCACATGAAAAGAGCCATTCTCCTCTCTCAAGGACCTGAACGCATCCCATGGCCATATTTATGACGTCGCACTGCGATACCAGACTGTGTTCCCCAAGGTAGAGCAGTCCCCAATACTGCACGGACTGCCTGAGACTGTGGATGAATGAGGACCGCTTCAGGGAAAGTTATTCACGCTTGGAAACAAAACAGCATTGTCTCCTAACATACAAGGATCACAACGTCCATACAGATTTATGATTCTCTCATTATGAGTTCAAGATGGCAAGTGTATTTAACTCCTTTCCCCTGGAGACTCAGTACCATACAAGAATCGTTTTTAACAAGTATGAATCGGGTTGCCTGTAGCTTAGTGTGCGCGTAAACAGCCAGATCCCATGTGGCTGACCATAGTCTGAATCCTGCCCCAGCAGCTTGAAAAATACACCGGGTACATATGCATGCATGCTGTAAATCCCGACGGGATGAAGAGCTGGAGGAAAAATGATTGCGGCGTGATAACATTCCACTCAGGGGATCTTTCTCTCCCTCTTTCTGTCTCTGAAGAATGCATGGACTCTCTGGGAATTAAAAACAAAATACTGGGACCAGCAGATGGCATAATGGTTATGTCATTGGACTCCCACATAGTTGACCGCAGTTCAAGTTCCAGACCCAGCAATGTAAAACTCATGCCAGGTGATGGGCATGTATGCCCCCAAGATCCCAAGAGGAGAATGGAGTTTCCTCTAAGGGACTGCAGTGTGGCCATGCCCCCCAGGAGTGATTTCTTGCTTTCTGTTCTCTGTTTCCCTCTGTCTCTCTAGCGAGTGCACACGCCCGATAGCAGAAATCTCTCAAAATAAAAACAAAAAACAAAACACTTAGGAACACTCAACAGTGGAAGTGCAAGGCTTGGAAATTTCACACTACAGAGCACTGTGTTAAGAAACTAAAGAAGTGAAGAAATGAAAAGGCATTCATGCTCATGAATCGGAAGACTTAATATTGTTAAGATTGCAATATTCAGCAAGCTGGTTTACAGATTCAGTGGCATACCCATCAAAATCTCTGCTGGGCAGCAGGTAGCATGGTGGTTAAAGGTGCTAGATCCACATGGCTGACTATATGGTTCAAGTCCCAGGCCTGGAGACTTGAAAAACACCCCAGGCACATCTACAAAATCCTAAGAGGAGAAATGGAGAGGGGACTGCGGTGGGGCCATCCTCCCTGGGAGGTGATTTCTCACTTTCCCTCTTTCACTGTCTCTCTCTGGCAAATGCACGTGCCCTATGGCAAAGTACAAAAGGAAAAAAAAAAGTCCTGCTGCCTTCTTTGCAACAATAGACAAACTTAGTCAAAATTCATATGAAAATAAAGGGACCCATAATGCACAGAACAATCTTGAAAAGAAATGAAATTAGAGGACTCGTACTTCATGATTTTAAAATTTAAGACAACAGTAAGTACAGAGAGTATTATAGTAAGACTTACTGAAATTAGTAAGATAATTTTTATTTAATAAATAAGCAAAATAAGTACAATAAAATTTACTGTAAACACAGTATGTAACAGTAAGCCTTGACTACATTAGTCGAGACAGTGCGGTGCTGGGATAAGGCACATAGAATAATGGAACAGAATCAAGACTTTAGGGGGTCATCAGGTGGCATGGTGGTTAAGGGCACTGGACTCCCACATGGCCAGCCGCAGTTCAAGCCCCAGTCATGGTGGCTTGCTTTCTCACTCTCTCTCTCCTCTCTCACTCACTCTGCCTCTTTCTGCTTAAATTAAAAATAAATAAATACATAAATAAAGTTAAAATAATTCTTAAAAAAAAAGAATTAAGACTTTAGAAAGAAACTTTCATATTTATGGACAATTACATATCATGTATGTAGTGAAAGACTTAGATCTAAAGAATATACAAATCTTACAACTCAATAATTAAAACAATAGGGACCAGCAGTTGCATAATGGCTATGTCTATGTCACTGGACTCCCATGTAGTCGACACAGTTCGAGTCCCGGATCTGGTGGCTTAAATTCACGCCGGGTGCATGTGTGTGTGTGCCCAAGATCCCAAGAGGAGAATGGAGGAGAAGGGATTACGGCGTGGTCATCCCCCCTGGGGGGTGATTTTTCGCTTTCTGTCTCTCTGTCTCTCTCTGTCTTTCTGGCGAGTGCACATACTCTATAGCTAATAATAATAATAATAAAACCAAACAACCCAATTAAAATAGGAGCAAAAGTCCAAATAGACATTTCTTAAAAAAGATACATGAATAGCCAATAACGACACAAGAGGCTACTCCACATGATTAGCCTCCAGGGAAATGCACATCAACCCAAGAGGTACTACTTCTTGCATGCTAGGATGGCTACAGTAGAGGGACCTAAGAGCCGTAAGTGTTGGTGAGAATGTGAAGAAACTGGGTCCCTTAGACAGTGCTGATTGGGTATAAAATAGTGAGGCTGCTTTGGAAAACAGTTGGGCAGCTTTTCAAACAGTTAAACAGACTTATCACATGACCCAGACATTCCGCTCCTACACATACCCTAAAGAGATGTGAAAACACTCACCCACACAAAAACAGGCTAGTATGCAAAGGTTCACAGCAGCATTATTCAAAATAGCCAAAAGTGGAAACAACTCAAAACTCTAAGTCCTGGGGCCGGCAGGTGGCATGGTGGTTAAGAGTGCTGGACTCCCACATAGCTGACTGCGGTTCAAGTCCCGGACCTGGCAGCTTGCCTTCTCCCTTTCTCTCTTTGTCTCTCTGTGGTCAAATTAAAATGAATGAATGAATAAAGTTCAATAAAATAATTTAAATAAAACCTCTATGTACTGATGAACGGATACACAAAATGTGGTCTTTCCATGCAACGGAATATTGTCTGGCAATAAGAAGAAAGGAAGGACCGATAGCACACACTGCAAAGAAGGTGAGCTCAGAAAACGGCATGGTAAGTGGGAGGTGCCAGTCACAAAGGACCACGCATTAAACGATCCTCTTTAAAGGAAGTGCACAGAACAGGCAGATCTGTAGAGACAGAAAATAGGTCCGTATTGGCTAAGGCTGGGATGAGGGCTAGGTGATGAGGGGTTTCTTTTTGGAGTAATAAAAATGTTCCAAACTGGACCAGAAAGTAGTGTGGAGGTTAAGGTATTGGATCTCACGTGGCTGACTTCATGGTTCGAATCCTGGACCCAGAGGCTTGAACATCATGCCAGATGTATGTATGTGCATGCCCCAAACCCCACAAGAACACTGGAGGAGAAGGGATTGCCATGTGGCCGTCCCCATAAGGGAGTGACTTCTCACCTCCCCCCAACCTGTCTCTCTCCAGAGAATGTACACGTGCCCTATGGCAGAAACAAACAAACGAAATAAATAAAAACTTCTAAGATGGTGGTAATGGCTGCACCACTGTGCTCCTGTACTAAAACCATTAAATTGTACATTTTTAATTAATTCATTATATGGTATGTGAATCACCTCTAAATAAAGCTATTTTTTTAAAAAAGAAAGGCTGAAGGGTGTTGAAAGTGAGCTAGATTCTTATCCATCCTTGCGCTATAACAACAGATGATCTTAGAGCGAATTAATTCAAATACAGTACAGACATATTATCAATATCAATATTCACAGAGATAACCAGGGGAAATTAATTTTAGCAACCAACATGATAGAGTACTAATCAATGAAAAGAGACTAGCTGAAAACAACTAATATGGCACTAGTGGGCTTTGGCTAAGTAATACCCTTGACTAGGTAAGTACTGGTCAAGTAAGTGCAGAACTAGTTAAATGTGTTTTCTTCTAGAGAAGAAGGCTGGGGTAGGAAGAATGGAAGAATGGAAAGAATGGAAAAACTGTAGCATTTCATTTTATTTGACATTCTTTAGCCATGGCCACTTGGTTATCAATGTTTAAATATTAAATTTAAAAATTGCATGATTTTATTTATAGTATGTGGAAGATTTTCAGAGACTGATTCTCTGGCATTATTTTAAACCATTTTAAACTATTATTCTCTAAAATTATTTAAAAATAATAACAGCTTCTGCAAAGGAGGGCATGGTACTCTAAATTCACTAGTTTTTTTTGTCGTTGTTGCTAAATTTAGAAATGGATACCCAAAAGTAGCACTCCACTTAAGAAACTATTTTATTTATTTTTTAAGATGTATTTGTTTATTATTTGACCAGAGAGAGAGAGAGAGAAAGTGAGAAAGCAAGCCACCTGGTCCAGGACTCAAACTGTGGTCAGCCATGTGAGAGTCCAGCACCTCAACCACCATGCCACCTGCCAGCCTCAAGAGTCTAGAAATAGTAATGTTCCAGATGCATCATTTAATAACAACTATTATTAACCTTTTCTTTCTTTTTTTTT